GCCGAGCTCGTCACGGCCGGCGCGTTCCCGCCCGGCGTGCACGAGTTCACGGTGGGAACTTCGCAGCGCGTCGCCGCCGAGGTGACGCCCCGCGGCACGATCGTCTTTGGCGGCGAGGAGCACGGCAGCATCAGCAGCTTTGCGCTCGCCGCCGCCCGCGGCCGCAACCCGGCGCGGCAGGCGTGCGACGGGTGGCGGGAAGTGCGGCTCGGGGGGCGGCGCATGGAGGCGTGGCGCCGGGCGTTCATCGAGGGCGCCGCGCCGCCGGCCGCGCCGGGCGGGCCGCATTGACCGCGTTTTGAGGGCGTCAAACAGGACTGCTGCGCGCTTTGTCGTCAAGCGGGGCGTGGGAGTCTGCGCCGTCCGGCCAGCAATGGCTAGGGTCGAGCGCGCAGACTTTGGGAGCAGTTTGATGGAATTGACGCAAGTAATTGTTTGGTGATGATACTCCGCAAGGCGCGCGCCGCGCGCCGCACGTCCCACGCCTGTGCGTGCGGCCATGGTTTTGTCACCCTGGAGCCTGATCCCAACCAAAATCACAGGGCAGCCGCGCCCCAAAGCCGGCACCCTCTTTCAAGACGCACCCCGCCCGCAGCGCCCCGCCGCGCAAGGGGCCGCTTGTCGCCACGTCTCGATCCGCCCCGGCCTCCGCCGGCGCCGCGAGGCGCGCTTGCACGGCGTGCGGGGGTCGGCAGCTGAGCCCCGGCCTGGCCGGTCAGCTGCGTCGTCCTGGCTTTTCCGTCCGCTTGGTTTTGAAGATCCGCTCACTCGTTTGATGGGCGCCGCCCCGCACGCCCCCGCCCGTTGAAGCGCAACCAGCCCCATCAGCCCCTCTCGATTGCTGGCCGAGGGGTGGTTGGCGGCTGGCGGCGCGCAGGGGACGGCAGCCTTTGTTTTTGGCCAGGCGAGCGTGCTTTGGGACGCGCCGCAGCTGCGCTTTAGCGCAGGCGGTCCAAAGGGACAGCCTCCGGGCAGGCCGGGCAGCCGGCTCACTGACGGGCTGCAAGGCCCTGTGAATAAGACACGCCAACACTGATCAACAAGCACTGCCCGGCGCAGAGTCGCTTGTGCCGTCTCGATTGCGAATAATACCCCCTCTTCCCGCTGCCAGCACCCCCTGTCTCACCCACCTCGCCCCAGAGCAATGACTCAGCCCCCAACGCGCGCCACCTGAGAGCGCTGGGGGCGCCTTCTCTTGTGACACCTGGCGCCATCAGCGCAACACCACGAGCTATGCGGCCGCGGGCCGCCACCGCCCCTCCACCAATTAATTTTTGGTGTTTTGGCAGGCGTCCACGGCCTGCTGCGCAGCACTTCTCCCGTTTCTGCCTGCTCATTGGCGGTCACCCACGCTCAAGTCAGGGTTTCGCGCTGCAATGCGTGATTGTCATTTACACTAGCCCCACGGCAGGCCGCTTCACAGTAGTCCCCACATGCGCAAGCCCTGCCGGCGCCGCATTCAGATGAGCGGTGTGCAGCCAACTGGCTTTGAGGTGCCAGGAGAGCTCTCCTGTGCTGGACGAGCGGGGAGCCAGGGCGCACTGGTGCGGGGCGCCGCGCAGCGCAAGGCACGCGCCGCCCTGCATGCAGCGTGCGTCTGGTGCACTTTTGGCTTGTAGTAATCCATGTGATGGGGTGACACAAGCCGATCACACCCACCGATCGCGCCAGCTGGCTGGTGTAATACTCGGCCGGGCAGTCGACAGCGTTTTGAGATTTTGCGCCTGCCCAGACTTTATTACAGCGCCAGGCCCCCTCTTGGAGCTCGGGCGTCAACTTGTGATGACATGATCTGACGTCATCAAAGGGGGAAGCACCCAACCAAGAATCGGCGCCGCCCCAAGGCCGCAGGCTCGGGAAGCGCGAGGGCTGCAGGCGCCACCACCCCGCAAGCAAAGGGGCAGAGGCAGGGGTCGCGGTCAAACCAGGGTCAAACTGCACCCGCAGGGGCCGGCTTGGCCCCTTGGTCAGGCCGGGAAGCCGTGGCTGGAAACCTGCTGAAGGTGCCTGCGGCATGGGCCCTCTGGGTCTGCGACTGAGCCACCCCGGCGGGCAAGCCAGCACGGTCCGCCCGAACCAATGCGAGCGACGCGCCAGCGCACACGACGGACCCGCTGGGGCGGGAATGCGCGCGTGCGGCCCACCCGTAGGTTGGCGGAAGCGACGCGTCATCGACAAACGGCGGCTCCTCAAGCTGGCGCGGCCGGAATGCTCGGGTCGCTGTGCTCCCAAAGCGCCCGCAACCACCAGACGTGGCGGCGATGAAGCTGTGGCAGCCGCCGCCAGCAGAACCTTTGCGCAACCGAGGGCGGCGGGGCCGGCGGTTGGGCTTTGGCCGGTGGCGCGTGCTGGTGCTGGTGAATGGCAGCCCCAACTCAGAGTAAACATCCTGCTGCGTGGCATTAAGCGCTCCTGCTGTTCCTGGTTAGTTGCGTGCAAGTGCACAGGCACGTCTGCAGTAATCCCACCCTCTGTGCGTGTTTTGAGTGCAAGTGAGCGACAGCAAGTAGCGGAAGGCGTGAGCCCCCAAACCCAGGGGAAGCATTCCTGTGAGATTGGGTGGCATCAAAAGGCCGCATGTCAATCATGAGAGGGATCCCGCGCCTTTTGGCCAACGTGGGGGCAGTTGGGCCCACGCGCTGCCCAGCCCATGTACGGCGCGCTCAGCTCGGCTCGGCTGAGCTAAAGCGCACTCATGGCCGCCGCCGAAAACGCTAGCGGGCCCTGTGCCGCCGCCGGCGCGCCGCGCTGCCCCGTCATGTCCTCTCGAACTCGGTGTATGAGAAGCATGTCGTGCAGGTGGCGGGGAACTCCACCCAGGGGACGGTGTCGCCGTAGAGCCGCACCGCCAGCTCCTTCGCGGTCGCCTGCACGTGCGCGAGCGCAGGCGGGCACGTGTGTCATGGGTGGGGCGACTCCAGCGGAGTGCACTCGTGGCAGCGAGGCGCCGCGTCACTGCTGGAGAGGAATCCAGCCGGTGCAGTGTTATGTTGGGAGGGCTGCGAGGGCGCTCTCCAAAAAGGCAGAGAACGCACTCCGCGCGGCTGGCCCCATTCAGCTGCGCACGCAGGCAGGGCGGGGCCGGCGCAGAGGAGCTGGGCCCTTTCGGAGGCGCCCGCACGCCCGCAGCTGCGCCGCGGCGGCAGCGGCGTGGTGGCGGCGTGAGCGTGAGCTGCGGCGCAGAACCGAAGCAGGAGCGGAGGCAGGCGTGCGGGAGACGCCGGCGCGGGCGGGGGCGGGAGCGGTGACACCGTTGGCACAGACAGGGGCGCGCCTGGTAGGTGCATCTGAATCCGAAGAGCCCCGCGATTTCTTGTAGGGAGTTGGGCCGCTCGTCCTCTATGGCAGACTTGAAGGGCTCCCCGCGGTTTGACACGGCGGTCTGATGAGTCACAGGGCGGGGCGTGGGAGGATGGGGCCGTAATTGTGTGTGTGTGTGTGTGTGTGTGTGTGTGTGTGTGTGTGTGTGTGTGTGTGTGTG